GGGGGGGGGGGGTCAGTTCAGTGATACCTTCATAAAGGATATGCAAAGATAGGACAGGGCAGGGACTCTTGGAAAGGAAAGGATAGAGAAACTGTAAGCCTCAGAGCATGTTTCACTTCTTTAGAACACGGAGCAGATGGAAAAGAAGCTTTAACATTAGCTAAAGTCAGAATAATTTTACCTCAAGCATAATCATTAATAATAAAATAGGTTACACCTAATACACCAATATTTTACCTCTAAAGCAAATCATTTGGTCTAATCACAAGAAATTTATGTACAAAGAAAACTTACAAATGGAAGTGAAATTACTAAAATGTGCTGGAAAATAATACATACACACCCTATACAGAAAAAAGAAATCTTTTTTGTTTGTTTCCTAATCACAGTGAAGTGTGGGGAAAATGCTCATTTAAACTCCAGCTTCATCAGTTTACAGCTAATACAGAAAGAGTCCTTTTAGGCCTCAGTGTAAAGCTACAGGGTGAATCCCTGGCATCTTGTTCTAAAACCCACAAATGAGCTGGTAACATGACCAGCTGCAGCTCCCTTCCTGCATTTCAGAAGCGCCGGGTGTCCCACACTCGCAGCTCTGTACAACTTCACACAAAAGACTGGCAACTGGCCAAGAAGCCTCCGCCATGGTGTCTATTCCCCAAGGTTCAAGAACTGCCATTGAATTCCAACTCAGCCATAAAACGACATGTACTTTAGCACACTAAACCAACATAAAACAAACTAAATTCACATTCTGTTTAGTAAAGGTATTCCTCCAAAACGCAAAATATAAAAGACATTAAAGTATATAATCTTCTACATTTTTAAAGAGACCTATGATTATAATTCTACTCCATTAAGATAATTCTTAAAATTTCCTCAGATTATTATTTCCTTATAATCTTATCAATAGCAAGAAACCCACCACACACAGGGGTTTAGCTATATGTCTAAACTTTTTCATTGAGCAGGTCATGCACACTGTTAATTAAGAATCAAGACGAATGAATGCTTTACCATCTGGTACATGTAGGTTGGCACGACCTACAACAATGACTGTGAGACAGATACCTCAAGAATGATGTTACTTTCTGTCTTACAACCTTACAGAAACGGATGGTTCTGTCAGTTAGGTAGCTACATCATTCCAGTATGTAAGTTTCCTGAAGGAAAGGGGGAAAACTACAGAAAACACTTTAACAGCTTGGCTAATACTTAACTTTCGTAGAAAGGAGTGCTTTCTAAGAACAAATAACAATAAACTGAGCACTAGCCTTTGTGTGAAAATCCTGGGAAGGTTTTCATCTTTACTGAAACCTTCACCTACCTCTAGCCTCTCTCTCTTCCAGGTCTGGACATCTTCTACACAACAGTTCACTGATATATTAGTGATCTGAATGAGTAAACCTTAAGGTGTTTTATTCAATAGCGAGAGTTTACCAATGTTAAACCTGTCAAAATTTAAAAGACTTAGGAAGCCAACTGACCTTTTTAGCTTCCTTTTGATGGACACCTTTCTGTAATACTGCTATCAACTAAAGATGGTGTAGAAAGGATTAGCACACTTCAGTAGAAAAGGTGAATCAAATGTGATATTTGGAGTTTAAATCCCCTTCCCTGCCTAGGACTGCCTTCGTGAGACAGCCAAGGACCGTACAGCAAAAACACACACACACAAAAACCTCCAAAGAAATCCTTTAAATGGCCTTTTCCCTCTTCAATGTTAAAAACCTTTTGAGTTTACTGTATTGTTTAATACAAGTAAAGAATTATTCATCAAAATTTACTAGTCAAGGAAAGAAATTTGCTTCACATTGAAGTTAAAATTGCAAAATACACTGACTTTCTGAGCACACCAAGTGGATATGGATTGTAAAACATCACTGTAACCTAATTAACCTAGATCTAAGTAGTCCTAAAAAGAGATACTTAACTTTATTGTCATTTACATGAAACATGTCTATTATATTACAAAGAGAGAACAGGCCTCCAATCTCCTCCTAGAGGAGGTGGTACTTTAAAGAACAGCTACACAGGACATTTCTGACATTCATCCACAGAGGAGTGGGAGAAGGGAACTGTGCTGGGAGAGGGAAGCTGTCCCAGTAGGTTTTTTATACAAAGAAGTTACATTTTTAAGGCTATGTAACAAAATGTTAACTTGCACAGTAGAAACATGGTGGTTGTTTTTTTAACATGGGTTATCATATTTTTTTATTAAAAACAAAACAACAAAAAAGGAATTATAAGGAACAACAACGAAGAAATACTTTTCATTTTCCTGAAGCTTCCTGGGATGGAGAAGGAACAGGCCTGGGACAGAAGAGGAGGCCGAGAAGCTGAAAGGAACAATGCAGAGTAAAAGCTAATGAATAGGACAGGCCTCGCTGAGGGCCCGGCAGGAATCCTAATGGAACTAAAAGGAGGTGGCGGTGGTGGCAACTGGCTTAGAGGCTGGGGGGAGGGCAGCAAGGAAATGAAATACACTTACACGCTCACAGTAAGGAATATCATTTCCAGGAAAATATTAATACTTACCAGTATGTACTGTAGCTACTACAATCCATACACACTGTGTGCTGAGCTTTATCTTGTTTTTCTGATTTCTTATGGTTGGTTAAGGGTACTTGTGCATCTTCATAATGCTTTTTTGCATGGCCATTCACATACCTTACAAAAACCAAATGAGATTTTATTTTAATCTAAATATTGCTTTGGAAATTACAGTAGAAGGAAATGATAAAATTAGATGGTAAACAAGTCAAAATAAGAAAGAATCCCTCCTTATAAGAATATTCAATCATTTAGTGATTATTAAATTGAGTACTTAAAATATGCTCCTTTTTCTACAATCAAGTATGACAGTCAACTTTTAATTACAGCAGACACAAGACTAGGGGCCAGACAAGAAAAGCAATTATCTATGCAAATCAGTTTCAATACCATTGATATTATCACTTAATTCTTTGATTAATGCTTTTGCTGTAGTCTTTTTTTTTTTTAAGCTTTTCTCAGACTGCTAACCCCTAACTCAGGTTATTATCAAAGACAAGCTTTGTAAACTAAACCACTCAACCACTTCCCACAGGGTCATAGGTTCTGCGTGGGTTGCTGCTTAATATAAAAGAGAGTCAGATATGGAAACAGGATAATCTTCCATCTCTTTCTCATCAATATGGCTTCAGATCTTTTATTTGAATGCCTTAAATAATCAGCTCCATTCATATGGAAACACATTTGTTTAGAAACAATCCAAACAAAACACAAATCATCTTAAGCTTATATAAACTGTTATTTCTCTACGTGGACAAGGTAATCAAAGGTTGACTATAGTCATAAAAATTTTCTAACACTTTCCAACTCAGATTTAGTAAATCATTGTATTACAGAAAGCAGAATAAAACATTTGAAATAAGTATTCATATGCACATGGTGTGCACCCAAATTCATCTACACTTTCGCCTTAATACTGTGCAATGCTGTAACTGACCACAACTGTGAAGACCCTTACAAAACAAAACCTCCCAGTTCCTAAAAAGCAGCCAATTTGTAGAAGGCAAAGCCTAACTGAAACCTCTGAACAGTCAAAACAAATGTTGGTTAAATGGTGCCAAAATAAATATTCTCAGAGAGTAAAGATGACATTTTTGTCATGAGGCACCTTAACTGTACCAGGGGCAACACTTACCTTGTGGTAAGTAGGGAAGACCAACTTGAAGACCAGCCTTTCCCCCCAACAAAGCTGGAAGCGATAGAGGCACTACTAACCTCAACTCAGAATTCGATCACAGTTTCCCATTTTTCCACTGAAGTAAACATAACCAACATTTGTGTGTACATGGGTCCTCTGTCCACAAAAGTGGACTAAAATGAGTTTTTAAATAAAATTATGGTTAGGAATATAAACTCAAAAACTAGGCTGCCTGGGTTCAAAAGTAGGCTTTGTCACAAGCTGGCCATGTGAGCTTGGGTGAGTCACTTAACCTCTCTGTACTTACGTTTCTCATCTGTAAAATGGAGAGAACAGGACTCATATCTCATACACTGTCAGGTAATTAAATTAAATAACCCATGGCTCAGAATACATGCATGAATAAATGAATATTTTTAATTTTTATTCATCTTTTCCTTTACATGCTTAACTACTATTTATTCAGAATCCAAACAGCATAATTTACTTAAAAAGTGGTAATATTAAGCACATACTTTGAGATGACACATTGCACAGGTCAAGAAACACCCAATATTTAATTTAAAAGGTAAACTCCAATATATAATATAAGTTTAATAGCTAATCAGCTCAATTTCCGATGCTTATATTTATTTTTTCTGTGCCATGAAAAGCAGGAGTAATATTTATAATGAGGAGTGCCTTTGAAATCAAAGAAAAGGCAATCATGAACAACAATAAAGGCATTACTATTTTCAAGTCTCTGAAAACTGATTATCTGTACATAGTACACATGGTTCACTTAGCCACCACACTGTAGTCTCCAAATATAATAGATGTTTAAACAGTTATTGGAAATGTCAGTGATAAAGTAAGAAGTGGATTACTGTCAATATTAAGATTAGCAATGTTTTGGCTAATACACAAATACATCAGTCAGAAGTGAACAGTTTTGTTTAAAAAATGGCTAACATAAAAATAAATATTTCCCTCATCTAGTTTTAGATTTTAACTAGACAATTTGGTCTAGAAAGGAAAAGTGTCAATATATATCACGTGTCTAACAACAATCACAAAAGTCTTTAAAATCACTTAACTGAGATGGTATTATAAAGACCAATAAAATATATAACTCAAATATACTACTGATAAACTATGCTTCCTAGTTGAAACAATATTCAATTCAAGACTTCCCTACAGACAAGTGGTCTAAAATTACTGTAAAGTCAGAATCCATAATGAAAGGAAATTAACCAATCAGCTCTATAAAATGAAGATCCAAATGCAGGCTACTCTCATTATGTTTAATCTACTTAATCATATTTTTCTGAAACTATGTCAAATTTCTAAATTTAAGGTTGCTTACAGCTGGAAACAGACTATCTGCATAATGTAGAAAATTTCCCATTTATTTTTCCAAATCCCGCTTAGAGAATTTGTTGCTTGCTATTAAGAACACTAATCTCTCCAATTTTTGAGTTTGTCAGGTCTTTTTGTTGGCATATGACCTTCAAGATTTCAGTTGTAGAGCACTATGAGACAACTGGAGAACAGAATTATATAAATTTTATTGCATTATAATTCTCACCTCTCAAAATCTAGGAGAGGAATCTGTCTCTTCAAGTGCAGAATTTAAGTGCTTCTACTTTTCTTCTTTTTTAAAAAAATGTTATCTGTACATAGTATTTTCAGGTTCCCCAAATCCTAGAGATTTCAAAACCACAACAGCCAAAATTAAGAAAGATAAGCAGTTAACATTTTCCAAAGGTACTCTTAAGTGTACATGGAAAAAAGTACTCAATTCCAGAGCTCAAAACGTGAAAAATTCAAAATTAACTGAACAAAGATGCTCTCTTCATGCAATGAGGGTTTAAAAATAACAATGGGGAAACAGTCTTAATAAATATGATATAGATTTCAGCCTGTGTGACTTAGTATGATTTCCCATGCCCTGCTGCTAAGCTTTTAACTCAGAAGCAAATTCAAAGTGGATTTTCTAAGCTAAAAGAGCAATAGATATAAATGTGCTACTACCACTGCCAGGCTAAAAGAACACAAAGGCTGATATTTGAGTTTGTGTCCAAAGAAAAGAGTTACTAAAGTACTTAAGTAACATCATTTTGAAGCCAAGAGCTGGGAGGAAATGCTCAGGCTTGAACTGGGATGGGGTAGGGGTGAGGAGTTAAGTCCCTGGAAAGCAAAACTGTCTTAATGGAACAATGAAACATTTGATACATCTTAGCAATTAACTATGAATTCCACAGTGAGAACATTTTCAAGGGAATGAATTCCCTTAGCTGTAAATATTTTAGTGTTGTGGGACTTTTTTGTCTTCAGAAGAATGATGTAATACTTGGGATTTGAATCAAAAGCCAGTAAAGGTGGAGATGGGGTAGGTAATAGGTGAAATCAGATTGGCCATGTGCTGATGATTGTTGAAGCTGGGTGATGAAAATATAGGGTTCAATTACACTATTCTCTCTACTTTTGTGTATGCTTAAATTTACCCTAATAAAAGCTTTAAAAAACAACCATAAGGTAAACTTTTACTTAAACATTTCAAAGTTCCCATATTTCATCTTTTCAATCAAATGTACTAGGTTTAGATTATATTGATCATCAAATGAATTTTTCTGAGTATCAATATAAAGGGTTTTTTCCCCTACATTTTCCTTAGTTGTACCACTGAAAAAACAGATTCTATGAGGACAGGTAAGCTCTACAAAGAATTTATACACTATGATTAAGCAATGGTGCTAAGTAAACCCAAATCAATAACCCTTTAACATAAAGCTTAAAGGCAAACTGGAAAATGCAAGTAGGGAAGTGAAATAATAAGGCTGTCACGTACCTTCCACAGTGGACACTTGAACAAGTCAAACAGACCCAGGGGCTTTTGTTGGATCGGCACACTAATAAAAAGAAAAATACACAATATACCAATTGTATCAGGTTAATTCCCAATTTCTCCCCTAATCCGTAATAGCATATCCTATGATTCAGTTATGAATTCTAGGGCAGTACAGGTGTACTGAACCTCACAGAGCGCTGCCCTGTAAATGCGCTGACACAGAATGGCCTCCTAATTGAAATTCTACTGAGAAGATTTTAAGTACATATACACAACAGCTACTCATTTTAATTGTTAACTCAACTCAAATAGTTTAATTACAAGTTAAATACATATTCACTTTTTTCCTTTATTACTTATTCATTTTACCAGTCTCAGACAAGTTGACAGTCTGCTTTCTCCTTAAAAGCATTTTTAAGTCTAGTATTTAATCACGTCTTTGCCATGTGGGTCATATACTATTCTAAAAAAACAACTCTCAGTTTTATTTAGTGAGAGGTATAAACTAAAGATACAATTAGGAACACTAAGCCCAGTTCTTCCCAAATCAGTATCTTAGTTGCATAAAATATAATTCTAAATATGACAGCTGCATATAATTCTTGCTGAGAGTGTAATTAGAACATTAATTATTTTGGCTTAGGTATTATGGGGTGGAGCAGGCAAACACGGATATGAATACTTTTTAAATATTACAATTTTGCTCTATGTTTTATTCTGGTTTTTTTTTTCTTTTCAAAAAACCCAATAAACATAACAATGATTTTCAAAGGGGAAGGGATATAAAAATCACCTGGGAAGCTTTTTCAAAACACATATGTTCTACTGAGGCAGAAAGAATGTGTATTTTGAGAAATGACTCCCTAATAGTACAACCTCTTGAGAACCACTAGTTAGCCTCCTCGGGCCATTGGAAGGACAGCACAGCAGAACCACATACTCAGGATCCTAGTAAATCCACTGTCTGGCACATAATTAATGTGTTCAGCCAGGTCAGTGTTGGCTCAGTGGTTGAGTGTCGAGCTATGGACCAGGCGGTCACGGTTCGATTCCCACTCAGGGCACATGCCTGGGTTTTGGGCTAGATCCCTGGCAGGGGGCGTGCAGGAGGCAGCTGATCAATGATTCTCTCTCATCATTGATGTTTCTCTCTCTCTCCCTCTCCCTTCCTCTCTCTGAAATAAAAACATATTTATAAAAAAAAAAAAA